AAAAAAAGAACCTCACAGAGCATAGGGCCCAAACCACAACCCATATACATGCATATAATTGGGTCTCCATATAGACAGGCACAGATACAGTCTTGCTTACATACACACCCCACTCAAAGCCATTCTACATTGTCATGTTCCTTACAATCACACACACACATATACAGAAACACATTCCCATAGGGACAGGCTGCCCACCGTGCCACACCGGGAGGTCTAAAATGCCCTCTTGCCCAATCCTGTTCTTTCTCCACCCTCCAGATAACCCTGGGACTCCAGAATCTGCTCCTCTACGAACTCAGAATTGGGTTATAGGCTGTGGAGCTGCTCACTACAGTGACTCCAACCCTTAGAACTTTCATGGAAGGTGGAAGGAAAATAATTCTTGGAGCATCAATTTGCAGGCATCCCCTCAGCAGTCCTATATGTTTGAGGGACCCCACTAGAGAGCTGGCTAATTCTATTAAAACAGATTCAGGAGCCAAAGAAGATCCAGATAGACCTGAAATTGAGGTTATCAGTGCCCCTCAAACCCTACCCCACAGTGTGTGGCCGTTGTCTCCTTGAAGTGGAAGAGCAGGGACCAGAGGATGCAGAAGAGGAAGGCGACAAGTGGACAGCAGACCGTGACCAGGGCCACCAGGGTGAAGCGGAGCCGGACCAGGGTCCCATCCCGGTCCAGCGGCAGTGGGACCTGGTACATCTTGTCAGACCTAGGGATGGAGTGGCATGCTGTCAGGGCCTCAGGCAGCAGGGCTAGGACTCAGTGGTGAAGTCAGCCCTTGTCATCAGTCCTAAACTTAGCTGTGCTATGAAATAGGGAGACTGAGAAGGAAGTCACCTAAACTTGATTAGCTCCTACCCAGGGTGAAGAAGACTGACTCAGAATCCCAAGACAACATTTTCACCTGAATATCAAAGAGAAACAATGAGCCAAATCTGTGCTGATCTCTCCTTGTTTCAAGAACCAACCCTAAAATCTATCAGTGGATCATCTCCTCCCCCAAGCCTTTGAGCCTCAGGCCCAGCCTCTATGCTTCTGGGCTTCTTGTCAGCTTTCACTGCCTAGGGCCCGCCTGAACCTTCAGTCCCTTTCCAGGCTTTGTGTGCTCTCTGAGTCTGCACCATAGTCACAGAGCAGAGACTCCATAGAAGCAAACAGAACTTCCACCGCCTGCTTATCCCCGCCTGCTGCCTCACGTGCCTGAGGGTGAAAGACTTTGCAGAATCAGGCCTGGCGTTAGCCTAGGTTTGCTGTTTGTTAGAAAGACCTGCTTTATCAGCTTCTGGAAGATTCCCAGTGCCCAGAGGCCTGCCCATTATCTACCTGTGACTAGGTGAGGGCTCCTGAGCACTGTGATTTCCCATCCAGACAAGGACAGGAACTGTAATAGCTAACTATACACCAACAACAATCCTAGCTTAACCCCCAGATGGGGAAGTTAAAGCAGAAATCTGCTCAGGGTCACACAGCAAATAGATGGAAGAGCCAGCAATAGAAAGATGTGGGGCCCGCAAAGACTTAACACACTGCAACTTTGGCCTTTCTTGACCCCTTCCTCTCTGCATCAGCGCTCTGGGAAGAAAGGTCAAGTTAGGACTGGAGTGAGAGAGGAAAAGGGGTGCCTATCCATAGAAGAAGAAAAGGAAAACCCAAATCCTATATAGATGAGTCAGTTATCCCTGTTACCAATGAAAAGATAGAAAAACTAAGGTGCAGAGAAAGAAAGGCTTTCCTTCCTCAAAGCTATATGCTGAGTCTGAGAGGAAGCCATCCCAGGAATTGAGGCTCCTGTTGCCAGGTTAGGGCTGGTTCCAGATACAGAAAGAACTTGCCCTTCTGGGCTCAAAGACCTAGTCAAATCAAGCCCCAACTCTTCAGGGCCCCACCCTCATGACTCTCCTCTCCAGTTCCACCCTCATTCTAGAACAAGCCAGGTAGATTAACACTTCTACATTCTCAATTATATTCCCCTCCTACAGGCCCAATCAGGCAGCCCACCCCACTGCTCAAGTTCCTCTCTCCCTTTTGGGGATAGGGAAATCAAGGATATCCCTGGGGAGTTGGAAGTGGCTATGGTGAGCCTCCTGGATCAAACACATTCCCTATACTATCCTTAATGAATAGTAACTCCCGTAGGGCCTTAAATGGGGATCATTTTCCCCCCTTAGCTCAAACCTAGGCTTTTTTTTTTTTTTTTTGAGACAGAGCCTCAAGCTGTCCCCCTGGGTAGAGTGCCATGGCATTACAGCTCACAGCAACCTCCAACTCCTGGGCTCAAGCGAGTCTCCTGCCTCCACCTCCCAAGTAGCTGGGACCACAGGCGCCCGCCACAACGCCCAGCCATCCTTTGGTTGCAGCCATCATTGTTGTTTGGCGGGTCCGGGCTGGGGATTCGAACCCGCCACCCTAGGTGTACGTGGCTGGCGCCTTAGCCGGTTGAGCCACAGGCGCTGAGCCAAACCTAGACTTTTAAGTTGCTGCAGCACTAGTCCCCCACCACCACCAACCTCCTTCTCTGAAGCCTGCTGCCCCAGATCCACTGGGATCCCCAAACTGAAGACCAGATATTCAGGGAATAAGTAGGCACTGCTTGAGTCTGGGGGTGATGGGGAGGTTCAAGGAACAGTCTGCTATACTTCTTACAGGTATGCATGACCTCCCTTTTAGCTGTGTGACCTTAGGCAAGCCACCTATCCACTCTGAGCCTGTTTCCACAGGATGGCTTTCATTACTCATAAGGCTCCTCCCACTTAGTCATTCTACTCCTCCACACCTCAGAGCTGGGAACTAAAGGCCAGTTGTTCAGCCCCCAGACAACTCTTAAAACTGCTTTCCCAGAAATATTCCTACCTCATCACCAAGGCCTCTAGAGATCTTCTGAGCCTCTCATCCAAATCCACATTTACTGGGTGCCTATGAAGCACTAAGCACCCTGCTCAGCATTTGATATACACTCTCTCCTTTTTTTTTAGAAATAGGGTCTCTGGAGCACAGTAGAGCAATCATAGCTCTCTGCAACATCAAACTCCTGAGCTCAAGCTCCTATGTCAGCCTCCTGAGTAGCCAGTATTATACCTAATTCAAGCACCACCAATTTCAGCTAATTTTTTTTTTTTTAATTTTTAGTACAGGTAGGGTCTCACTATGTTAACCAGACTGGTCTCAAACTCCTGGGCTCAAACCATCCTTCTGCCTCTCCTTCCCAAAGTGCTGGAATTACAGGGGTGAGATGCTGTACCCAGAATACATTGTTTCTTAATCCTCATTATTATTCTATGAGCTAGGCACTACAGTCTATTATGTTTCCATTTTACAGATGAGAAAACTGAAGCTCAAGAAGGCTAAAAGTACTTACTCAAGGTCCAGGCTAATAACTGGCAGTGCTAAGATTCGAAACTATTCTATAGGGTTCCACCCCCTTACCCTCATCCACTGCACCTAAGAGGAATCATGATCGAGAAGCCCTGCTGAGTCAAAATGGGAGGGCTCAACCCCAGCACCCCCATCACCATGGGGGTGCAGGGGGAGGTCAGCTCAGTAAGTCTGGAGAGCCGCAGTTCCTGGGATATGCAGTTTTGCCACAGTAAAAGCAGTCACCAGGACCCCCAGAGCTCGGGCCCGGCCTGGCCCTGCTGAAGCTGGACCGCATGGCCGAACTCCCCCGGATGGGGTTATCCGGCCATCTGGCATACCCAGCCCTATACTCACCAAGGCAGTGGTGGCCGGGACGCCGAGCCGGCGCAGGCCGGAAGCCGGGGAACCTGGGGGGGCGGGGAAACCCAGGCCCAGAGTGGGGGGTCTAGCTCCAGGGGGCGGGTCCGATCGGAACGGCAGGGGCGGGGCTGGTGCGCTCGAGGCGGAACTTAAGGAGGAAACTGCGCCTGGATCCTTTGTAGGCTCCTCCCTGCTTCTGGAGAGACCCAGATACTCGGCTCTCCCCTTTAGTTTGGCGTCTCCTCAATGGTGCTTCTGGATTGCTGGTCTGCCTCACCAATTTCAGCTGCGTGAGGATAGCGGATGAACCCTGGACATCTGAATTTAACATGTTAGATACATCTACCTTGTCACCTTACCTCTCAGCTGCGTTCCATCACCTGTTGAAAGAACAGAAAATTAATTCAACAGGGCCCTGATTTCTCACATTCCCCGACCCCGCTCTCTCCGTCCCCAACCCCCATTCTAACTGGATTATCCTGCCTCGCCTTGTGAAACATTCAAGCAGTTTCGTCTCAACTTCAGCGCCCCTCCCCCAAATTTTGCTCTCCAAAACCTTGTGGGGACGTTTCAACAAAGGGAACAGCACCTTTGCGGGTAGGAAGATCAGTTGAGGCCCACTCCAGAAACTGTGGCCCAGTGCTGCTCCCACCTTTGATCAGGAGAGGGCACCCTGTCCTGTCCGGAGAGACTCACCTCTCCCAGCCTTGGGTCTCTCCCTGCAAGAACAGGATTGATTTCCAGAAAACAGCTATTAGGGTTTCCTTCCCTCCCTTACCCTGTCTGATCCATAAGAAACCTGAGGGAGAACCCAGATCCCTCCCTTATTATATCTTTTTCTTTTTTTGAGACAGAGTTGCTCACTATGTTGCCCCACGGTGGAGTGCTGTGGAGTCAGCCTAGCTCACAGCAACTTCAACCTCCTGATTTCAAGCTATCTTCCTGCCTCAGCCTCCGGAGTAGCTGGGACTAAAGGTGCCCGCCAAGACACTGGCTAATTTTTTCTAGTTTTTTAGTAGAGACAGGTCTCACTCTTGCTCAGGTTGGTCTCCAACTCCCGAGCTCAAGGGATCCTTCTGCCTTGGCCTCCCAGAGTGCTAGAATTACAGGCATGAGCCAGTGAACCACCTCACCTCTGAGGTAGACACAGTTACCATCACATCTTTCCTATTTAAATCTTCATGATAATATACATTCTGAACACTCTTTGTGGCCTAGGAACTCTTTTTTTTTTTTTTTTTTAGACAGAGCCTCAAGCTGTCCCCCTGGGCAGAGTGCCGTGGCATTACAACTCACAGCAACCTCCAACTCCTGGGCTCAAGCGAGTCTCCTGCCTCAGCCTCCCAAGTAGCTGGGACCACAGGCGCCCGCCACAACGCCCGGCTATTTTTTGGTTGCAGCCGTCATTGTTGTTTGGCGGGTCCGGGGCTGGGGATTCAAACCCGCCACCTTAGGTGTACGTGGCTGGCGCCTTAGCCGGTTGAGCTATAGGCGCCGAGCCGGCCTAGGAACTCTTAATTTTTATGTTTTTGTCTCATTTAATTCTGACAAAAACCCTATGAGGTAGATACTTTTTTCTTTGAGACAAAGTTTCACTATGTCGCCCTTGGTAGAGTGCTGTAGTGTCACAGCTCACAACAACCTCAAACTCTTGGGCTTCAGCGATTCTCTTGCCTCAGCCCCCAAGTAGCTGAGACTATAGGCACCTGCCACAATGTCTGGCTATTTTTTGGTTGTAGTTGTCATTGCTGTTTGGCAGGCCCAGGCTGGATTCAAAAGGCCAGCTTAGGTTCATGTGGCTGGTGCCCTACTCACTGAGCTATAGGCGCAGAGCTGAGGTAGATACTTTTAATTTTTTCTTTTTTTGAGATGGAATCTCACTTCGTCACCCTTGGTAGAATGCCATGGCATCACAGCTCACAGCAATCTCAAACTCTTGGGCTCAAGAGATTTTCTTGCCTTAGCCTCCCAAGTAGCTGGGACTA